ACATCCAAAAGAGCTTAACGGCTTGATGGTATGTCTTAGTTTTCGGTGCTTCACCACTTTCCTGGCGATTTTAAATAAAGGTTCAGCGGAGCGCCGACCGGTTTTATTAATCTTTGGATATTAAAAAATCAGTATTCTTTGGAAATTAAAAAATCGTTTTGCAGAATTATCAATGTCGCTTGGACATCCAGTATGATTATTGATAGGCGATGGGTGCCACGTGTGAAAGTACCTCAACGGCGCCAACACGATATTACGATGTATGAAAAACTTAAAAATTTAAATTACTATTGTATTCTCAAAAGAAATTACATCACTTTAAACCGTTTTTCGCTTTTTTCCGCTGTTTCCTTGACTCGTGTCATTTGCGTTTCTGATATTTTGAATATTTTTCTGCTTTAATATTAATGCATAAATTATAACAGAAAAGTTGCTTGTAGGATTTGTTTCTCGAAGCCGTCAAAAAATTGTTTTCTATTAAATTCCATGTTTGCCGCTCTCGCAGCAAACGACCTGCACTTTATCATTACCTCTCCTGTTACAGATGAATTCAACTGTGGGAATTAATTTTAAACTTTTACAGCGGGACTGAGGAAATTTTCGAGAACTTTTAATTGTGGAAAATTTCGTATTGCGCGAAAATTCGGAACTTCTGGAAGCGAATGCATGTTTTTTTTATTTCGGTATGTAAACAGTGCCGTTTGTTGGATATGCATGAGCGACGGGATTGAAGAAAGCTCGAACCGTTTGTTGACTCAGGCACTCCCCTATAAAGCCAGGTATCCCCGCCGGCGCCACTCTGTGTCTTTTTCGTCCATTGCTCAATCCATTTTTTACTTTGTTCGGATTGATAATCGATTATCTTATCCCGATTATTTCTACGGCAGCATCTGCCACAAGTGGTATTTTTCTGAAAGAGTTTTGTATTTGTGCTTTTCTCATGTTCTTTTCACTTTTTGGGAAATTATTATGAGTGCCAGAGAAATTTTGCACCTTTTGCTTTGCTAATTAACAGAACCAGATTCAGACGTGGAGCGTTAAATATAGTATGGTACAACTGTCTGAAGGAAATTCACGATCAAGTAGGATATTCAGC